CAAAAAACTGAACTAACCTGAGGCAAACGTGGAACATTAACTCTTTTAAAATCTTTTGAGAGGTCAGGTTTTAACAAGAGTACTCTGTTCAGTAAAAGTACCACTGCAGTGCAGAGAGATGATGATCACTAAGTTTTTTCCATGTTATTCATTAACCATTTCACCTTGCTCTTTTCATTAACTTGAGGATGCACTGACATCCCGGCGCTTGCTGCTCCCAATCATACACCATGTACTTTGCAAATCGGTGACCACTGCAGCGACAGTGTGCGGCCTTAACAGCTTATGGTTTCTCTCCCTCCCAGGACCTGCTAATACATATCCTATGCCCCTGATGCCCGCTTCCCTGTTTGAAAGTGCCAGCTCGGTATCAAACTCTTTTCCCCAATCCCAAGCACACCTTGCCTGTGGCCTTTAGAGCCTTTACAGAGAACAGCAGAGGCTCCCTCGCACCAGTGAGGCCATGAGCCTTGCCCTGAGGCATCGCTCCTCCCATGGGTCACCTGCAGAAGCTCCTTCTCAAACCCCTCCTCCCTGGACAAATTTCTCATTCCCTTGTTTGAGAACTATGCTTTAACACTGTCCATGCTTTTCTTTAACTCACAGCTCTTCCCTGCAACACATGACTTCACCCTGATGGAAGGATGTAATTTTTCCTATCTGAGTATTTTGGGATCACCCTTAGTCACTTTGGAAAAATCAGTACGCCTCTTACAATGAAATATTACTGCCACTCTTTCAAGGCTCTGAGACCCAAAGAAAGAAGTGTAGGTTTTTATTCTGCTTTCCCAATTACTCTGCAAATTCTATGTATTGCGTTATTGCCAAATTAAACCACATTTATACACTTCCCAATTCACTAAGTGAAAGAGATGAATATACAATACACATCAAATAACGTGTCTCTGTCTTCCGCCAAGCCCGATGGCTGCTGCAACAGCACGGCCGCGAGCAGGCTGACCCGACACCTCTCCCTCTTTGTCCTCTGAGACAGAAACACCTCCCGGCCAGCTGGGAAACTGGCGGATTCTGTAGAAATCTGTTTCACTGAATTCTTTCCTTTTCTACCAGAGCTTTGTTTTGATTATTTTATTGTTCTTCTTGTTTTGAAAACTATTGATCTCGCACTAATTTTTTGCATGGAACTTGGCAAAATAAGCTACTTTCTTATTTCACTCTACCTAACAAAAGGAAATACAAATCTTATTCGTACCAGAGTTGTCTTTCCTGGCTCCTCACAGCAGCGTCCGATTCAGCAAGTAGGGAGAACTCTGAGAATATGCAAAACTTAACTGGATGCAGAGATCAGAGAAATCGTGCCAGTGGTCAGTTCTGATGGCCATGAAAATAAGCCATGGAGAACTGAAGCAAAAACCTGTTGGTTTTTTTTCTCCTTAATTCTTACTTCTCTCACAAAGATCAACACCTAAGTGACAACAAACGAGCTGAGTTACATTTCTTTTTAAGGTGTAGTATGCCCTTGTCTCTGCATGCTTCCTACTTACTATTCAGTAAATCGTTCTAACCATAGCTGGACTTCAGATGCCCAGCAGATACTCTTTGTCCTATTAGCATTTATGCCTCAGGAACTGAGGTACACGAGGTAACCCATAATTTTGTGCAGACAGCTCTGCACAACTACAGCGCCTGACAAAATTCAAAAGCAGGAAAGCTTCAAAGTTGAAGTTGTGGGGTTTTTTAATTGCGCATGAAACCCTGTTAATGCTGTGAGAGTGGCTGCTACCAAAGCTGACTGTTCCCCAGGAACAGATACTTCATTTCCTACAATGGTAGAAAGTGTTTGGCCGAACCTAACTCCTTCATCTAACAAAAGAAGCTAAAGTTTGGTTTGCAAGGCCCATTTTTACAAAGCTGTCACTTCCCTTGAGCTTCTCTGGTCTTTTTGGAAAAAGCGGAGCTGGTTATGAGTATTTAAAGAGCCGTACGTGTCTTTCCTGAAGACATTTCCCTCAAAGCCCACCCAAGAGACCAAAACCAGGTTCTCGAAGATTCTTCTCTCGGTTTCTGTAAAAAGGCTGTGGAAAGGGCACAGCATTTCATACCATTATGATTAAGCCACAATGGATTTCAGTTTCTGGCAATCAGTGAGAATATAATTATATACCTTGATCCCTAATTACCTATTGGAACTACTGAGTTGGCTCATCCACTGCACAAGGGCAGTGATTTCAGTGAACTACCACAGAAGTGACCTATTACCTCTGCAGAACAGCCAGAAAAGACTAACTTTATACATTGAGAAACTGAATCACAATCAGGCAAAGTCACTGACAAACATGCAAAATCCATATCAAAAGTGGGACTAACCTCCAGCCCTTGATTGCCAGAGTCTCCTCTAGTCTAGTAAACCACAGCTATTATATCATTTAAGTGAACAGAATCCCTTTCCCAGGCCTGTCAGCGAGAGATCCTAATGCACTGCTAATGAGCCTCTTTCCCCGTGGGGTCAGAAAAGCCACTTACGGCGGCCCTGTGGAGCACAGAACATAGCACAACCACTGAAAAATACAATTAGATTAAGGGACTTAAGTTTATAACAAGTTTGTGGAAGGATTTTTTTGTTTTTCATTTTTCTCTGTTCCAGAAAGCAATTACACAGCAAGTCATTGTCCTGAAATCGCAGGGAAGAAAACTGATAAATAAGAGTCCACTTACAAAACAGCTTCCCCCTCCTTGCCTCTCGTCGACAGTCTGTGGAAATGTATCTGGGCTTTCCAGACCCATGCCACGTTAGTCCGGACATGGCACAAAAGAAAAATAAAGGCACAGAAGAAGAAAAAAAATCCACCCCGCATTAGCTGTTGCAGAACTGAGATCACATCTTTGACTGAACTTTCTATACTTTCATTGGTTTCCTAGTCATTTCAGCCCAGTTTGCACTGGGTGATGGACATCCTATCTGCCTGCTAAACTGTGGGAAGAGGTGTTTTGGAATCTCTTTTTATCCAAGGCAAACTTTCCAAGGTGGTGCTGCTGACATGGTATTTATTTTGTGGTTTGGGGGCTTGCCATTTGTTTATTTTGAGTGATACCAGGAAGAATAGCAAGAAGGGTTTATTTTTATGGAAAGACACTCCTGGCATTCCAAAGGGAAGGCTTGAAGGGGTGGTCCAGGACTCCACTGGTGACTAGCACTTCACCCGTGCTGAGTTCGCAGAGTTTGGGCAGGAGAGAGAGGTGATCCTAGCAGCAACCACTGCACTGTGGGGTCATCCCTTTTCTCTTCCCACTGGAGGAAGGGAGTTTGCTGAATCTGTTGGGTTTGTGTTGGCAGAGAACTCGGTGTTAAATAATCTTCCCTGGGTCTTCTAGGAATCATTAGGAGTTCTCAGTGCCACTGCAGCAAGACAGAAGTTTTCTACAGTGAGTCTTCCCTGCCTTGCTTCTTCCACCTCCATTTGCATCTGCACGAAAGGGCATATTCACCCTTGACAGGCATACAGAATTGCACCAGCCCACTGATTAAAGTGACAGTTAAGCAAAGTAATCGGTCTGGGTTTTTTCTCTCCCCCTAGAATTACGGGATTTATCTTAAAATAACTTGGAAACTTTCTCTTTCCTCAATCTTCCAATGGAACACAAATTTTCTTAGATCTACTATACCAAATGAGGAAACCTTTTACTGTCATTGGTCTTTAATCCTTTTATGTCATTAAAGAGGCAGTCCCAATCCCTTCTAAAGGCAGAGAGAAGCTCCCTGAAGCACAAGACTGAAAGATGTGTCGGTATTTCTGCAGCCTACTTTAAGAAGATTCCTAAATTTTTAGACAACAAATATTTACTCTCACTCTCCCTGATCCTGTAACTGAATCCGTATGGGTGGAATCTTGAATGAAAAGTCTTAGTGAAGTGCAAAAATATTTTTGGAGGCTGAATGCAAGATCAGGAATGTTGAGGATTTCCATTCAAGCACATGGAAGCATGCACAACACAAGTAATACAGAAAATGCTGGTTTGTCTGAGTTTTCTGCTTTTCCAAGAAGTCACACTAAACAGACTGTATGGTCTGGAAGAAACAGAGAATTGTTTCTGATACCATTTCTGCCAGAGGCCTGATGGGTGGCTATGAACATGTTTTGTGTCTGTGACTCCTTTTCTCCACCTTGGAAGAGAATACAGATCCACAGAAGACAAACAATATGTCACATGTAATTTTTAAATAAATTTAAACTATATTTTACCAATAACTTGTCATACTATTTCCAGGATTTTCTCCTTGTACAGACCAGAACTTGTTACCGAAACTGGAAACAATAGAGCAATATGAGGAAAAATGTCAGTAAATTAATTCTTCTCTCTGATAACCTCAAAATGAACCAGCTTCTTTGAGTGCAGTGAAAGTAATAAATTCAAAATATTAAAAAGTTTTAAAGTGGGCTGAAAGGCAAAGCATTGGATTTGTCTACACTGACATTACCAATGTATCTAGGTGCAAACAAGCTGGTCACATAACCAAGACAGCTCAGAGCTCAACTTCCCCAACACTTTTCCCTGCCTGTCAGGTGCCTTTTGTCGTGCAGTTTGCCCTGTGTCACCATGGCTAGAGAAAGAGTTCGAAGTGCATCTCTACAACATAGCCATCACAGTCTCAACAGTGTCGTAGAGATACTTAATATTTAACAACTAGACATGGATGCACATACACATACATGCATTTTATATAGACACACGATATCTAGCACTCACCGGCCACCAAACCATGCTTCGTCCAGCCAGGAAGAATCCACCTACTGTCCCTCGGTTGGTTGAGTACATAGCCTGGAAAAAAAAAGAAAGAAAGAGAGATTGACTGAATCATATTTTAAGTATAATAGGCAAGCTATACACAGACTAAGAACAAACAGCTAGAATGGAGGGATAAAACATATGGGGAGGGTAAAGTGGAAGAAATAAACAGAGTGGCTAAAAAGAACAAGCTTACGATGAAGAAAATAATACAAATGAGCAATGATTCTTGTATCTAGGTCTGCATTAACCATTCAAGCACCACTGCGTCACCTTTCATTACAGTGCGAAACATTCCATTAAAATTAAATTTAACCAAAAAAAGAGAACATTCAAATAAAAGCTCATATGAACACTTCATCAGGGGTGCAATGCCTTCAGGCATCAAAAAAGACTGTAAGTTCCAAGTGCATTAACAGAAAGTGGGCAGCTTTTCTACTCAATACTATCCAGCCCCAGCAGATACCTACAAAAATCTGTTTTCTTGTTGTGATATCAGCATTGTACTCGCTTCTCTCCGAAGTTCAAAAAAAGAAGACAACTAAAATTTCCTTTTCACACACTCATTTTGTATTTGTCAAGGGATGATGGGCTTTAGAGGGAAGCTCCGTCCAATTTTTGTTAATGACCCTGATCCAAATACTGGATTCCCACTGTCTCCTCTGATGGACTTTGAACAGGCAAATAAAGAAAGAATTCTTGGGAAAATTAGCCAGACCTTTTCTTCTGATGCAGAAGAAAGGAAGTAAATACAATAGATTTACATTTAACTACACACAGCAACTGAGTGAGTATTTGTCCAATAAAGAGGACGTTGTTACCAGGAGGAATGGTTCCAGGAACTACTCAGCGCACAATTGCCTGAGGAGCCACAGATCGGCCCTTTTTTGTCACGGACCCTTATTACAAAGTTCAGCTACAGCAACAGCCAGACTTCCCCGACAAGACCCAGCTCCTGCAAGACAGCAAGGTGCTCAGGTATACCGGGGGCTTCAGAGTTTTTGCTCCATTTTTGGCATCTACTACCATGACAAAGAGGTAAAGAAAAGGCTGTGTCCATTTTGTGTACACCCCGAATTTTTGGTGCACCCCAAAACATTGCCAGGCTGCTAGAAGGGAGGTTTGTTTGGCAGCTGACTTCTCTGCTCTGTGAAATGGACCCCGGAGATGCTGCCGGCAAGCACGGGATTGCCGAGGGACAATGCCTCCCCTCTGCTTGTTAACGGTCGGGTGTTCGGGTGGCCAGGAGAGCTTGCCCCAAGGAAACCGAAAGGTAGTGACATTCCACTGTTTAAAGCTTTGTAGCCCACAGGATTGGCCTATTATCTTCAAAGGCTTTACACTGAGGTTACACCAGTCGGACAGTATCTCCATCAGCTGTGAAAGCGCTGGGCTTTGTTTTCAGATTAGGCACGGAGTTTCCCCTTGCAGCCCTCAGCACATTCGGCATTGCCGGGGTAAGGGCAGGAGGCACCACCGTGCTTAGATCACGCACAGAAAGTCATTGCCATCACTTGCCACCCCTGAAACCATTCCTTCCTCATAGTTTCAATGGCACTGCACCCTGTAGTCAAAGTCCTGCTGGCAAAAAAAAGCCACGATAATGCTGCCCTCAGATGGCACCTACGATCTTGACCGATCTCGCTCCTTTGCTGAGAGGGAGCTGCAGTCCTGGCTCTGTCACACGCTCGCAGCTGCAGTTTTACTGTTGCACCACCGTGCTGCCCTCCCCGCACGCTGGCTTCACCTCCATTCTCCCTGCTCCTCGCCATTCCCTACGGCATCACCTCACACCACCAGCTCTCACCGCAGCCGCCTCCGCTCCGCGGTGCTGAGCCCCAGCTGTCCGTCCCTAGCCTGCTTTCCATCCAACAGGGACTCGAGCTGGCCTGATCTTTGCTGATCAGCTCTCTCAGCTCCTTCCCCATGCAAACCTCGTTACTCCACCTTCCCCGCTAGTTCCACTCATCCACCTAAATGGATGCTTCCCCGGGTCACCATCCCCTCTCCAGTAAATACCCACATTTTCCCCACCATGCACTTATTAACTATCTCAATTAGGCACCAAAATCTTTATACAATTATACATTTTCATTTACTGAGCCATTTTCCCAGGACCCTATAAAATACCTGCTCATTAAGTTAAAAAAAAAATAAATAAATAAAATAAAATCCCAACCTACCCATAGTCCCACCGCCAGGACTACCAAAAAATAGATGACGATAACAGAGATGTCTGCAGCATTGTTGATCTTTATAGTGGATTCCATCCTGGCTGCTTCTCTGGCCTTCTTCTTCTTTCTCTCCTTATATGCTTCTTGCAAAGTTCAGGTTAATGATAAACTGCTGTCATCCCCTACGTCTTATATAATATATAACTTCAGATTCACTTGTCTCCCATGGGACACAAGTTGAAGCTGCTGCTTTTCCTTGGACAATTCCTTCCCAAATATTGCTCCCCTGCCACAGGTGCTGCAGATTTCAGAGTTCAATCCCCCTGCCAAAGGTGCTCAGGGTTTTAACATCCACGAAGGAATGAGCACGGAAGGAGTGGCTTGGCTGCAATAAACCCGCATATTTACCTCACTGTGTGTGAATACTTTTTTTTTTTTTTTTTTTAAGTGGTTGTACCTGTAAATCAAGTCACGGAAGATGTAATTCTTTTAGATTATGATGGTAAGCAATTATCTGTGAGGAGTGACCCGACACCTGGGGAAAACCCAGGGGTCCAGGAGTTGGGACACCCTCTGTGTCATATCTCAACTCAGCAGCATTACTCAATGGAGAAACAGCCCTGTATTCCTGGGACGGAGACAGCTGAAGCTGCTTACATCTCTCACATGGATACAGATAAAGATGCATGTGAACCACAAGACTCGGATCCAGGAGCTTACTGTGCTGAATGTCAGGGTGCTTAGACCGTGGGGCTGGTTCTCGCTATTGTAGCTAATCAGCTCCGCATTCAAGTAAGTGCAAAGTTCATCAGAGCTTGGGTCTGCTCTCCCTTTATTTGTTCCTCTGACTTCAGTATCAAGCTAAGCAAAATAACTGGTCACAAAGACATGGAACACACTGATTATAGACAGATCTTCACAGCTCTTATCAAGGAAGCTTCCCCAACAATGCCTGTGATCCTCTGCTTGAGCTGGAAGAGGTCAGAAAAATCCAGGATATTTAGAACAAGAGGCACAGGTGCCAGGCACATTTCTGGACTCTAAGAATATCTGAAAGTCCTATTCCCTGCTTAATACTAGGGAATCATTATTCATTTACAGCTGACTAGGCTGCCTTTTGGGAGTAAAATGTTACCCTGAAGTTACACTGGGCAGAACGAACAGTACCGTAGGTAGAAGCGCAGCGGGTTTGACTGATCTTGCAGTGGTTATTTCCTCGGGAGTTCAAATTGAGGTCTGGCGCTCTGTTCATTGGCAACAAATTTTTCTTAGGTAAACTATGCTTTGGTAATTGTGGCTAATAAAAAGCATCAAAGCCTAAGAAGCTATAATAAAGTGTGATTACCTACAAGAATAAAATAAAAATCTCACTATTGTTTGGGCACCTATACTCTTATAAAGCAGTCCTGTCCCCTGATAGTTTAGGCATCTCTCCCAAAACACATTCTTCAGTTTGTCCTACAGGACTGTGAAATGTTAGCTTTAAATCCAACAGAGAAAAAATTAACCCTGGAAGCTGCTGAGCATCCAAAATTCCCATTAGCTGCAGCCTTTCCTGCTGTGTATTTCAGAGGAAAATAAAAGACTTATTTACTAACCTTAATTATCAGGAAACAGTTTGCCTAAGATAGGCTGTAGATGGCACTTCTTTACAAAGATTGACATAGATTCCTATGGGTCCTTGCAACTAACAAAAAGTTCAGTTTTCATGAATTCCGTTTCTGTGTCAGTCGACAGAGGCAAAGCAAAGAAAACATTAGACAGGAACTTGTCTACTATAACATATCTTGTGTTCTCATCCCGACCTCTGCAAAAAAGCACTCAGAGGCTAAGAAACGCTACAGCCTCCTGTCCCCAGCTCCTAGTGTGGCCACACCAACGAGACTCCAAGGTTTGAAACAGTAACGGAGAATCAGTTTCTAAAAAATAATAATAAATTGCAATTCCTATCTTTATATACAGAGGAAGAAAACTTAATGCTGTTTTCTCTCTGAAGGCCACAAACCCAAACCAAACGTTCTCTACAAGATTGTCAAAAAGGGAAGGCAGCTTTGTCGAGGCTCTTCATCTTAATATCCCACCTCCCCAACCTCATATCTGCAGTCCAAGGAGAAACCTAGAAGCATTATACTCAGCAGATTGTTGGTGTACTAAATGAATCACTTCATTAATTGAATGCATAAAAATGATCTCTGAAAGGTCAGCCAAGTTTCCAGATTTGAAAAAGGCTGAACCTATCTTTGTATCAAAGCTTTCAAAGATAAGCATGAGTAAACACCCTGATGTGAAGAGTGAACTTCGCATCAGGAGACAATGATAACGCTCAGCTAGCAATGTGCTTCAGTGGGTGCTCTATTCATCCTGAAGTGTCTGGTCAAGCAAGTATAGGGCTCCAATGCCAGAAAAAATGACAAATAATTGGATATATTGAGGAAATTTCTCTACTCTTTCCTGTGAGCCAGACCAATTCATTGAAGTAAGAGAGATTTTAATGGGAGTGAGGAAAACAATTAGTCTAAGTAGCATAACACGGTGACTGTGATCCATGTCTATAATGCTTGCTCCCCTCTGGATCAAGTCTGATGACATTTAGCTTATCACGAATATGTTCTTACCTGAACAGACAAAACAGGCAACGGACAAGAGCACAAACAGCTATAGAATGGTGCAGTAACTTGTCCAAAATCACATCCCAGAGCACTGATGGAGACCAAGCAGAATAATGTCATGGATTTGCATACCCAACTATAAAACTGCAAGGGCTGACAGAGGCACCGCTGTCTTATCGGGCACAGGGCAGGCACATGAATTATGTAGAAGCTGCAATTGTTCTGTTGTCATTAGAAAATGGGGCTGTAGCATAGAAAATTTGAGAATTACAGTCCTTGCTGCCACTTAGCCTAGTCTCTTAAAAACTTGCGTGTAAGTCTCCCTCCTGAAGATGGCAAATGATAAAACACATAGCAAAACAAACAAACTACAAACAAAGAGAAAGATGCATTAGTATGCAAACTACCTCCCACAGAGGAACTCCTCTAATCTTTTCTCTGACATTCCTCCAAATTTCTTTATAAAGCAAGAGATTTCTTTTCGGGATGCTCTTCAGAAATGCTAATTTATACCCAGGATCCTTTGTACAATCAATAAAGGACAAAAACAGACAAAAATTTGCAGTTGTTATACTTGCGGAAGGCTATAGACTACGTTAGTAAAGTCTGTCCCCTCCTTTGCTCGTTTTCTAGCCAGGTAGTACGAACTTAGTAAGAAAAGAGATCTTATTTGCAAAAGGACAAAACAGAAATTCCAAGGCTCTCAGCAAAGTTTTCCTAAGATGGTCCTAATAATAGAGGATGGCAGTTACAGGAGGAGACTGGAGGATTATTTAGTACCTTTTGTTTGATGCCACAAGTCCTTTTTCTCTTTGTGCAATCTTGCTTAAGTGAGCAAAACTTGGGTCTAATTGGAAGAATTAGTAACAGAACGATGACAAAAATGGAAACTAAAAAGTGGAACCCACAGAAGAAAAATTACTAAATGGAAAAAAGATCCAAACTCCAGTAGGTACGATGTAGATAGAAGAAAAAATCAGTGGGAAAACAGGTGCCTTCCTAAAAGGTTACCAGAAAGAAAGCGAGGTCATATTCTTATTCACTTAGAGGATCAGAAAAATGAACGCTATTTCTAGACTAATTTTCTAATTAGTATCTCTACGGAGGAGAAATATGAGAGGACATGAAAATAGGTTTATATGCAGACAGACCAACGGAATTGAAGCAAGTCAATATATTCAGTTCTTCAGCAACTGATTAAATTATCTGTGTGTGATCGCTAAGCATGCCCAGCCCTGTAGTATCTAAGCATTGCCAGTTATAAAAACAACAGTCCAAGGACTGTACGCTCCCTGCAAGACAGGCTAAGACAGCAAATAAGGTAACTTGAATTTATTTTTGTTTTATTAATGTTTTATTCCTTCTTATAATTCCGGAAATTAATAGGGGAGGATTAATGGCAAGGGATGGGTCTGAAATTTCCATTGGAATAATAAAGTTGAATAGCAGATTTAAAATAGTCCCCCAAGCCAATGCAGACTGTCACCAGATTTAGCCACCTGACAGCAGGGCAGGTTGTTCCCCGCAAGCAACTCCTTAATTGAGTAGCATTCTCATCAAAACAGAAGTATGATTATTATTTCACAGACTATGTAACACACAGCATATTTATTGTCCTCACGATCTAATCCATCATATTTTGTCCATGTTAGAGACTTGCTAATCCTTGGGAGCTTCCTACCTTTCCCCTAAAACAACGTTTCCAGAAAAATATTTTTTAGAGGTGGATACATGCTGATTTGCCACTTCTACTACAGCTAAAATTAAATAATAGAAGGAATTATCCAGAGTGGCTGCATAATCATGATCACAACTCTCACAGACATTTTTGCCACTCATGTTTCAGAGACACTTTAGGGAAAACAGTATCTCCACTGCATAAAATACAGAAGAGAAATGAACAGATGAGCTGCTGATGGCCCTTCCACTGAAATAATTCTCCATTTTTTCAGGTGACCTAATGAAAACCCTAGTTGCTCATACTCCATTTTGCCCAAAATAAATGTAATCAGTCTTGAAAAACAGATAACTTGTGGATATGTTTTGATTGCCCTACAGCAATAAGCGGCAACAAATGTATTATTATTACTATTATTATTATTTATTATATTTGACAGGTTAATTTGATTAAAGAAATCTAAGTGGAAGAGGGAAAAGATCATAATCTGCTAACGTAATAGCCTAATATATATGTCCAATTTGCTCTACAGGGTCCTAGGGGCTCTTCAGTTAAGCCTCTTGTTTGCACACTGTTCGGTTGGAAAATTAAATGAGGAAAAAATCTGAATAATACTGTACAAAATACAATATGAAGCTTCTGGAAAAACAGTAAGAACAGAAAACACATCGTTAGAGAGAACCCAGAGGAAACATTCTTTAAGGAATCTGGGCTGAAAGAAAGTATTCGCGTTTGGCACAAACACTTTTTTGCTATTGGAGCAACAAGTTGGTCGGGAACAGTGAGACACTGGAATCCCTGGTCAGGAC